CCTTTATCAACTTTTTTCCATCACACAAGAGTGGGGTGGGCAGTGGGAAGCCATCCCACAGAGGGGACACGTGCAGGGCCAGTGCCGGCATTACCCATTTCTGCAGGTGCTGGGAGGGACCTGGGGGGGCTTGGGGCTCACTCCCAGGGCTGGGGCAATTCAGCATTACGCCCTCAGCACATGGCACAGCACGGGTGCTGGATGAGGCCTGAGTGGGAGACACCAGCATGGCACCACGGCGAGGGACATGAGCCCAGCACTGCCCCAGCTCACTGACGTGACCCTGCTATACTGAACTGGTTTTTGACGAGGAGTGGCGGAGCCGGGGGGGATGCTCAGATGGAGCACGCTACAGAGATGCAGAGCACTGCTGCCCCTGCCTGCAGCACCAATTTACATGGTCCATGCCAGAGCATCACTGAGGGATGCGGAGTTCAGGGCCAGGGTAAGGCAGGTGGGTGCCAGCCCCCTACCCCTTGCCTCCGTCTGCCTTTACCAGGGTTTCTCCCCTTCCAGGGTCATTTCCAGGCTTGAGAACCTATTTCTGCCTGTGATCCCCTCCCTCCTGCCCACACTCACGTTGCGGAAATCCCGGAAGGGCACAAACTGGACGATGTCGCGCACAGCCTCCTCGCCGGTGTAGGAGCGCAGCACCCGGCTGTCCCCGTCCAGGAATTCCATGGCGGCGAAGTCAGCGTTACCCACCCCCACGATGATGATGGACATGGGCAGCTTGGACGCCTGCACCACGGCGTGTCTTGTCTCGTCCATGTCGCTGATCACCCCATCCGTGATGATGAGGAGGATGAAGTATTGCTGCAGAGGTGGGGGCAGAGGGTCAGACCCAGTGGGATGCCTGTGCATTCTCACACCGCAGCCAAAGCCCACGGCGTATGAGCTGCCAGGATGCTCGGGGGGAGGCAGGTCCCCTAAGGATTTGGAAGCAGGAGCTTCACTGCTTCCGAGGACAGCTGGCATTTAGCAGCACCCAGAAATTTCAGGTGCTCCCATTCCCCCTGGCTTTTGAAAGTTCACAACCAAACAACAAACCAACTCCCACTCCAAAATATTTTGCTGATTTACTGATTTACTGTACTTGATGGAAAAAAACCCCCACCCTGTGCAGGGCTTCTGTGTCACAGACAGGAGGAGTTTGGGGCCAGGACACGAGCCCAGCAGGGAGATGAAATCCTCCCCTACCCACACACAGTGGGGTGCCTTCTGGGGCAGTCCCCATCGGCACAGCCCTGCACCACCGGGGAGCATCTCCTGCATCCCAGCACCGGTGTGTCCGTCCATCCCATGCTCAGCACTTGTCCGTCTCCCGTACAAAACCATGGGTCTTGGAAGCACTGAGGGGGGGATGCAGAGGGTACCAGCAAGCTGGGGGGATGCCAGAGCAGTGGCACTAGCACCCGCTCCCCTTCCTGTGGGGAAAGGAGGGCAACGGGGCCGGTCCTGCCGAGCTCGGGGAGGATGGACGGATGGACCGTCCTGTTGGGCTCAGCTCAGCAGATCTGGGACATGTGGACCCCCGAAAAGCCCATCTCTTCCGCCTCCAGGGAAAGTAATGGTTCAATTTTGGCACATTACACAGATTGCGTGTGCTGGAGAAATGACGAAAACAAGCACTTAAGCGCATTAAAGCCCTTTGTTCCTCTCCTCATTCTTTCCATTTCCTCTGAAAACCACTGGTGCAGCCATCCTGGAAAAGCAAGAGAGGGAACGCTGCCCCAAGCCCATTTGTTTGGTCTTCCTCCAGCCCACATCTCCTGAAACCTTCCCTAAGCATCATCTTCCCTCGACGTTCTCGGGTGCTAAACTCCAAGTACAAACAAGACTGGGTCAAGCTTAAACACAACCGGAGGACATGGGTGAGGAGATTTTTCCGAAGGCAGGGCAGGCAGCCAGCCCCTTCCCAACCCCAGCCCCTTTTGATACATTAGCGCTGCCCGCAGAGCACTGCCCAGAGTTTAGTTTTTCCCTAAATCCAAACATTTCAGAGCAAATCATGGGGAGACGTAGGTCTGAAGAGCAGGACCCCAACAGCCAAATCTGGAGGGTAAGACTAAATTCCAGGAGATCTCCATGGTCCTACATGGTGGCCAGCACTGGTCACCACTGGAAGCAGGACAAGTGCTGGGGCCTGACCCTGTCTGGGAACCAGTACAGGAGGAAGGGTAAAACCCAATAATGGGAACGACTTTAAGCTGATTCCACCCTTCCTCACCATCCTGCCAGTACCTGTGACTCAATCAGTGCAAAACTGGCCTATGTGCGTGGTTAAAAAGAAGAAACCCAGAAAGGACTCCCTCCCGTTGTTTCCCTTGTTCTGTGAAATCCATAATGGGATCAGAGAAAAATGCTGGGAAGTATGCAGGAAAAGGTGGAGGGGGGGGGGGACGGGCCAGAGCTCATCAAATGTTTATCATGACATACTTCAGAGGCCAAGCGGAGTAAGAGCTGATGCTGGGGATCAGCCTCGAAGCCTGGGGCGAGCTGGCCAGGGAGCATCATCACCAGCAAAGGAGCAGCGGGCACCACATGAGAGCATCGGTGGGAGATTCCCCAAGGGCCAGTGACAGTTTTGGTGGTGCCAGTAAACGGCAGTGGGGCAGGCCTGCTGGTGGCACCTCCGGGCTCCAGCTGCGATACCCAGCCGGGGCGCAACTTCTGCCGAGCTGCAACCAGAGCTGCTGCGGCCAGGACCAGGCTGGCCCCACGGCCGCATCCCCTCAGGCTGGGGTCTCCATCAGCACACCGACCCAGCAGCACCTTCCTTCTTTCTCCTCTTTTGGTTGTTAAAATGGCCGATCTCTGAATCCACAGGGGCTTTGGGTGTGATTCCTGATTGTTTGCTAACAGTATCAGCAGTTAGGCTCATGCGCGTGAGCAGGACTTGAAGGGATTAGGCAGCATTAAACAGCATGCGGTAAGAAAAGGGGAGGTTTGGATGCAGGGACCCTGCTGGAAAGGTGTGTTTTAATTCCCCAAAGCTTATTAATCCTTCCCTGAGAGTCAAATTGTGTGTAATCCCTCTGGCTCTCTCCCCCCCCAGCCCGACACATTTTAGTCCTCCCATTCCTTAAAAGCTGATGGCTCCGGTGTTTGCGATCCACGTTGCCATGGAAAAACTATACGTTTTTTTTTTTTGGTTTTATTTGAAATGTTGGGAGCAAGCGGGAGTGGGAGGAAGAGGAGGGCAGGTCCAGGCAGCCACGGAAGCCAGCAGCATCAGGGGTGGCTTTGCTGCATGCGCTGAAGATGGGATGGAAGAGGAGAAGACCCCGGGGGAGTGACATCCCTCATCAATAATGCTTTGTGCTTCCAAAAAAAAGACCGAGCCAACCCAGGCTTGCCTCTGACGGCACTATTAGTGCCCATTATTTAAATTCTCCCTTGATTAAACTATTAGTGCCAACGGAGGGGTGCAATTTGCATACGATTAGCGTCTCTGCTCAGTGCGGAGCCTGTGGGCTTCTCCCTCCCCCACTGACGCCAAGAGAGAAAACGAAAAAATGAGGAGCAACCTGGATTCGTGCTGAATTAAACCAAATTCAGTATTTTCTTGTGTCTGCAGCAGAGAAGAGGAACAGCACTCAAGGCAAGGCTGGAAAAGGTCCCCTTGGGGAGGAGGTTTCGGGTGTGATCCAGCTCTGCTCCAGGCAGGGATCAGGAAAGCTTTTACCCCAAGGCAGCTCGTGCCATGCCCATCTTGATGCCCAAGCTGAGCTGCTTTTGGCCAGCAAAACCCAGGGGCCAGACCTGCTGTCCTCCACGGGCAGCCTGCTGCCACAGGGATCCAACAGGCACCTAAGTGAGCTCCATCTTGCAGTCTGCAGATGCTCTTCACACCCCTAAGAGGACACCCCGGTCACCACCAGCAAGGCTGGACCCACCGTTGCAGCTCCCGGCACACACGGGCAACCCGGCATCCCTGCAACCACCAGCCTAGCCCTCCAAAATCACGCTGGCACCAGCTCCCTTGTGGACCTGGTTGTACGGGACCCTGCACTAACGAGCAGCTTTTTGACATATGGATGTGAATGGTCTGATGGACTAATTAACGGGGGCCTCCAGGACTGCCGAGCGGCTGCAGTGGCCACGTGGGAACCCAAAGCCTGGCTCTGAGCCTGCTGCTTGTCCAAGTGGCATGAAAAACAATGATCAACCTGAGCCACGGTTTTCTGCAATTTCCCCTCAAATATAAAAAGCTATTTGAAGGGGAATAGCAGGAAGGTCTTCTCCTGGCAAAAGGTTCAGGTTTGGCCGTCAGTCACAACAGAAACATCACGCTTTATGCCGTGGCTCTCTCCTGCTGCTCTTTGCAAGGCTGGATGTGCACCCCCAGATCTCCCCAGGAGATCTTCACAGAGGATCTTCTCTCCAGCTGTTGTGTATTGAACTGAAATAAGCCAAAGGTTTAAAGTCATGCTCAACCTCTTCCCTGTTGCTCATGTTTCCCACCGGCGCTATGGCAGCAGCATCACTGTCCTCCTGCCCGCCAGGCACCATCCAGTCCATCCTGCCCCAGGACAGTCCGGCAGCATGCAGGAGCAGGAGGCTGCTTTGAAAGCAAGAACCAAGTTCCTCAGGACTATCACCTCCCACTTATCCATAAGGACAGAGGTTGCCTCCTCAGAGCAAAGCCCCTTGAAGCCCAGCAGAGGATGTTTTAGGAAAAAAAAGTTGTGCTTTCCTGTCTCCAGCCAGGTGCTGCCTGGCATGTGTCAGCGACTCCTGAGCCTGAGCTCATGCTGGCACGGTGGCAAATGGCCCTTGATGGTTGGGTCTGCCGTGAGAACACCCCTTCCCTCTCCAGACCTTCACAGTCCTCAGCTCTGGGCATCATCCCGGGGCGGTCTCAGCTCCCTGACTCAACCGCGCACCGGCCTGTTGGATGCCCATCACCCAGCCATTCCTGGGGGCCTCGCAGGCCTTCCCCATAAGAATTAGGGAGAAATCAATCACTTTTTCGCCAGTCATGATTTTATGCAGCTCTGCTATTCCTAGTTGACTTCCCAGGCCAGAAGATCCCAGCCTTATTGCGTCTTGTACGGGAGCTGCTCCATGCCACTGTGTGTCTTGGCCAACTCTCTCACTACCATTCCCAGGGCTGTTTGATCCTCTTTGAGCTAAGGGCACCAACATTTAAGACAGTGCTCAAGACATCCAAGGGACGCCGACCTCGTGGCATCTCCCAACCTCAGCTCAGTTCTCTCCCCAGTAATTTCTGATTCTCCACAGCTGCAGTTTTGTTGAATGTTGTCAAGTTTTTGAGTTATTTTTTTCTTCCTAAGAAGCATCTGCAATGACTCTACGTTCTCCGTCCGAAGTGACGACAGCCAACTGAGAGCCCACAGCTGCAGAAACCCCAGGGATGGTGGGAGGACCCAGTGAAAGGAAAGACATGAAATCAAGCTCAGGCTTTGCCTTCCCCTGCCCAAAGCCATTGGGATTGCTATCGCACCATGGGATCTTATGGACTTACGGATGCAGTCTCCTGTTGGGTGGCCTGAGCCGCGAAGCGGGCCACATGGTTGACGATGGGGGAGAAGTTGGTGGGTCCGTAGAAGCGGATGTGGGGCAGGCAGGCCGAGTACGCTTGGACAATGCCCTCCACACCTTCAGGGAAAGCAGAGAAGCCAGGCATTACAATGCACCACAGCTCGGGCCCACCACAGATCCTATTAAGTATCATTAGCTAGTGCCGTCATGGGAGTTAAGTTAGACCTATTTCCACCCTCACCCCAAACTCATCCAGATTCACAAGTTTCATCCACCTCAACTCAAATTTTCTAATACCAGGGCTTTGCTCTTTGGTCACTTTGTAGTGGGTCCTCAGACCTTCTGGGTTAAGAGAGCCCTCATAGTGCCCACAGTCCAAGAAGGCTTTCCTTGGGTTTCTGCAAAAATCTCGCAATCAGCCAAAGAGGAGGAGTGAAAAGAAAAGCAACTCCTGGTCTCCGAGCGTAACCAAAACCCAGACAGACATGGAACAGAGATAGCGGAGAGAAGCAAAACAATCCTGGATGCACCCTCTGAGCTCCCAAACTGTGTTCGGGACCTGCAGGTCATCGGAGACCCTTGTGTTTCTGCTACACCAGAACAGGGTAAATGGCTGCTCTCCTGAAAGGATGCATGGGTGTGTAATTCAAAAATGGCCAATTCCAGAATTAATCGGCTGATAATCAGTTCTTCGGGAAGGACCTGTCACTGCGAAGAGTTGCAGTGGCTTCTGCGCCTGATAACCCCTGCCATAAATCAGGTCCAACGAATGCTTTGCAGCTACGGGAGAGGGACAAAGCCAAGGCAGCAGAAGAGCAGATGTTTGCAGCCAGCTTTCATGAACCAGCGAGTGAGGTTTGGAGTCTGCCCGAGCCCCTGTTTTGCTGGGGTAAGGCAGGGGTCAAACCAGACGACTTCTGGAGTCCACAGTAGCCCTCACCACTTAGGATTTGAGCAGTTCTCCAGCCATGACTGTGACCAGCTCTCAGCTGCTAAAGCACCAAGTCCCAATTCCCCATCTGCTAAACAAGCCTAGTGTTTCTTGCAGGCTTGCTGGAGGAGCAGACAGCTCGTAGGACACATCAAACATCAGAGCGAAGGCGGATTTTACGCTGCCAGAATCCAGTTGCATTTTACCCTGGGCCTTCCTACACACCCCCAACCCAAATTTTCCCTGCTTTCCTTGGAGTGTACCCTTAGCGTGTGCTCTGCTTCACCATTAATGGCTGTCTCTGAACAGACCTTGTAAAGTCCCCGAGGTGTTACTGGAGAAATGCAGAGGGAAGGACAGAAGACCCTGAAGGCATCTAAGGAGTCTTAAAGACCTGGTGCACGCTTACCTGAACAGAATGGGTTCGTGGGATTGAAGTTAATGGCAAACTCATGGGATACCTGTGGAGAAGAAAAGACCCAAATGAACACGGAGGCCAGCGCAGAGCAGGTTGCTCCCTACCAGTTTAGCTGATGCTGCAAGGCTGGTTTGGGTGTGATGCTCCCCTGGGGCAGGACCCGGTGGTCGCAGACGTTATGGTCCATCCTGCTGGGTCAGCAACTCTTCCCAGCCCTCTGCTACCCAAACAGCAAGGAGCAGCAAATACAAACGTGGTCAGGGTTGAGCAGCATTTGAGGATGGACTGGTTCCTCAATCCCCCCATCACAGAGCCACCTGAAATTATCACATCCCTCATGCTTCTAGAGCTATCAAAGCAGGTTTGTCCACATGGCTTCCCACTGCCTGCCCAGAGGGAAAGCACGCAGAAGGGATGCTCTCAGCCAGCTGGCCCATCTCACTGGTCACTGGGAAAAATTACTTCATCCTATTGCAGGTTATAAAGGGAGAAAATTAACACCACAGGGAGCCCCAGTTCTGGCAGCATCTCGGTTCTCCATCTCTCTGCAAGTGGCATGGTGCAGCAGGAGGGAGGCAGGCACAGAGAGAGCTGGGTTGAAGACCTTATCTGGCATGTCAGCTACCATGACAAAGCCAGCAGATGATTAGATTCATCATCTGGGTCATCATGAGGGTGAAAGGCAGCACAGGAGAGGTGATGTGACTGCTTGGGCAAGTCCCAGCATAATCTGGGCTGCTTTTCATTGACTCTCCTCCAAGGTGGGTGCAAGATCCTTCAAGATTTCCACCACCTCCTTTCAAGCTGAGGGAGATGTTCTCATGAAGAGGTCCTGTGGGTCACTGGCAACAGCAGATAGCCCTGCACACCCTGCTCCTTGGCCTGTTGCACTAGCCCATCCAGAGAAACCAAACAGCAGTGCTGACTGCGAATCACAAAACC